TTTTGACAATTTAAAATCAAAAACTTAGTTCTCTTGCCGAATTGGGAAGTTGATGCGAAAACACCAAAAAAATTATATATGCATATATACTTACACCTTGTGGTTTTCTTAAATCTTAACTACGTTAATCCTCAGTGTAATGTCGTCGGTGGTGTTCATATATACAGCTTAATTTTTACGCAGCGCTATTCGCTGGTAACTAATTACTAGTTCAACGTTTATTAAGTACAAGTAGCCACACACTGAGCCTTTCTAAATGTCGCCCATTAAATTACGATGCCTCTTCGTATTCGAAAATGTCTGAGAGCAAACTCGACTGTATCATCAGATCACAATGTTTTTGAATCCTCGTCAATAATACTATGTTTATTTCAATGTTGCTTATACAAAGTGCTAACAAATTGGGCACGGACAATTTTACTGCCGACAGATGAATTTTAAATAAAAAATACTTTAATACGATATAAACAAAAAAAGGAAAAAAATATAAATATGTCTAAAAAATTATGAAATTGTTAATCACCAAATATTGTTGTTATTAATAGGGCATTAAGAGTATCCGTACAATATTTTTTAGCACCCCTTATAATTTTTTAATGATGACAGTTTGTACGACTGTCAATGTACGGACAACGGTAAACCAGACTACACATTTTTGTTCGAAGATACGTCAAAATATGTAGCTTGATGTGCTGACGTGTGTACTTTAGTGTGTGGCCTCGTAAACAATATCCTAAGATTGACAAATGAATGTGAAGTAAACCGGTCACGTATTTACAGACCTTTTTTTGTTAGTTTTTTTTTTTGGTGAATGGAAATTACAAATCTAAGATAGTATTTAAGAATTCCTTATAAACGACCAATTAAACTATTTCAACCTTCAAATTATATTCCAATATACAAATGCTTGTCTATAGCAGCAATAGAGACTGTACAGCTGTACAGTATTAGAGTACAATATTATAATATAGATTAATTCTATTTCGATAAGAGAAGCGATGCATCGCCATGCGGCTACTTGATAACAGTCCGTGCTTACCGTCGAACAACCTACACATATACTCAACAAAATATATTCCCCCCATAAACAGAGAACCCTAGGGCTTCCAACATTACCGGAGTAACTACAGTTATCAACCCGAAATTGCAATAAGCTGGTCAATATAAAGCTATGTCCATGCATTAAGAGCGCCAAAGACGTAATACGTTTCGCATCCAGGGTTCAAGTGAAAACGAAACGAGTAACGACTTTTTCACTCTTACTGCATTGACATAAAGCCTTTTCCGACCGTGCAGCGTAGTGCGATTCCGCGTTATAAGTATGGTGAGTCACTTATCCGCAGATTACCAAATGCTTCATTGTTCAATGTGTGTGATGGTGTGGTATAGAATAGGCCATTGCAACAATGAATTGTAAACGTAATAACAAATCAGTGACACGTGAAAATACTTGTTTTTATACCGCGTGAAATTTTATTTTTTTAAATAATAGAGAAAAATAAATTAAACTGTTCCAACTGCAGTTTTCATGTGGTCAAAACTAAAGAAAATAAAACCGTGCCTCCCTCCCTCCCTTAATGTCACTAATTTATAATTAAGCCTGTCCGTTCTTCATTATAGTTCATCGCCAGCCCCTAACAAAAAACAAGTTTTTACAAAACAATGACTGTGCTAATAAAAATACGTCTTCTCAAAATCACTATTTTGTAATAACCGTCTCCAACAGTCGCATGACGGCTTTGTGATCTGCAACCTAATTTGCACTTACAAATTGTTCTCTAGATCAGAAGTCACCAGGCGTATAATATTTCTTTATGTAAAAACAGTATGGAAGTCCATTGTGATATGATGGCGATAATAATCATTTGTTATTATCATTATTGAAACGAAGTGAATTGACAAATAAAGCACATCAAAACTTGAAAGTAACATTTTACCGGGTGAAGTTATTCCTTATATTAACAATTCTTTCTTTTAACTACTCTCTAAAAAACCTTTACCCAGTGAAATTAAAACTTAGAAAATTACATCACAGCTAGCTTTACTAATCTAAAGGCAATCATGGCAGTTTTAATGGCAGTGTTTAGCTGGTAGTTCCTTTGGAATCGATGGGGGTATTCAGAAGTATGAGTCAATAGGTTGCAGTGCTGGCCAGGTACAACAAGTACCGCAAACTAAACGGAACGCTTCCCGAATACTTCCATCAAGTCACACTCGCATGGTATTGTTTGGCGAAAATATTGGCGAGACAGCGGCTGCTCTGTGCTGAGAGCTGCAACTTTAGGGCAGCACGGAGTAGCCCCCGTCTGACAATTGTCCGCGAATCAAAAGCACAATAGAGTAGAAACTGCGCGATTGCTTAAGATGTAACAACGGTGTCAAAATCTGTCAAAAACAACTACAATAATAGACTCTAACAAAATGCAACGTGTCAATGATGTAGATTATGTGCTCCATTATCATTTAAACCATTAGACTCTCTTCCTAAAGAATTTACTTGGTAATGAAACTCAATCCATTTACTGAAGACGCGCATAAATCAACAATGTCAATGTCACAACGCTTGCAAATTCTAAAATATTGAGGTCGTGTTGGATCATTTTGAGTGTCGTGGTCAAACTGATTCAACAAGTTGGAAGTCACTCAAAGTTATCAGAATCTGAAACGTTGTGAATTGGTCTCTGTTTATGGGGGATTTGTCTTAGTAACTAATTTAGAATTGTTGAACTATTGCCTCGAAAGTGTCAAATTTGATGAAAAACTTAAAATACAAACAAAAAATCGAAGGAAAACGAAAAATGTCCGCAAATAAAAAGCTTGAAAAGTAAACAACAAAATTTATAAATTAATAAATTATAGCCCGTTAAAATAACTAGAACTCAAGGGGTGACTCGGGAATTTCTACTCGAGAGGGATACCCGAGTAGAAGCCGACATAGGACGCCAAAGCTGCTGTATATGGCGGCCGAAGTCAGCAAATGGAACTGGCAATTTTCACTGGCTAGTTGAGTGCAGCCAAAGAACTAGTATATACCGTGAAAATGGTGGTAACTTCCGCCAGACGGGGCTAGGCGGACACTGCCCCTCCCACCTAGGTAACTTTAGAATAGGTTGATCCCACAAAGTGCCATCAACAGTGCCTTGACCAGTTCGAAAACAATTTCCTTTGACGATGATCCGATCTAGCCTCGCAGTAATTTCTGAAATTATTCACAAATTCTGAAAACGTGTGACTAAAACTTTTAAGCAAAACGAGAAGTTAATTTTGACCTTTCAAAAACGCGCGGGCAAGGCAATCCTTTGCCTTTGCAAGGAAATTCTTTGTTCTCGGCCACAGAATTACTTACCATTAGATGGGATTATGGTTAAAAGTTTAATTAATTAAAGAAAAAAGGCGACTGTGACCTCAAGATGGTCACACAACTCCCGTTCTCCATCCGACCGCCCGTCCGAAACAATTGGGGTGAAGAAAATAATACTCGACAAAAAGATGCCTGATGCGAAAGAAGCTTCATACTTGGCATTGTGTTTAGATTTGGTCGAATATTACTTAATAATTATTTCGAACGGATGTCAGTAATCAGCTCAGATGGATTTGAACGATAAACCTATTCGTAATGAGAAAAGTTTAATTAAAAACTAAAACTATTTCAAATTTCAAGAGTGTTTGCTCCAGTAACGAGTTTATAGAGAAATAACGATTGAGCCTCGTTTGTTTCCCTTTTCAGTCTTATAATTAATAACCAAGCTTCCTTATAAAGTATGATAGATAGATATGAGAGACGAAAGAAAGTCAAAGAAAATAACGTACGATTATGATTTTTAAATGATTTTTTTTATAATGACAAATAATTCATTTAACTGTTTAATTTTCTCAATGACTAACACTAAATCTTATTTGACATTCTACCAACATGAGTACGATTAACCGGCTTTAAATAATGTATTTCAACGGTTCAAATCTACAATGTTTATTATATTAATACAACTTTCTAATAATATTTCTTAAGCTTAATTTAAACTGTTAGATAATAATATTATGTACACTCTGAGACAGCTTTTAGAAAAATAGACTTACGACTGTGTTACGACATTTGCAAGTTAATAGTAATTTTTAATAAAATGCATCTTATAACTATAACGAAGAATGTACGTCCGAACAGAACATTACGGTTAAATTGTGCTAACTGTAATGCATATGCCTCAAATATGATACACTGTACACGACATAGGTGAAGCAACAAAGTGTTGAACCCTCTAGGGTAATTTACATTAATAACCTAATAATAAAGCTTACCTAACAATTATTTTGAATTGCCTTAATTATTCATTTCCTAACATCATTTGATTTGTATTAGCACACAGAACTGTATACTGGTAATTGAAGGTGTGCATACATTTTTTTTTATTATTATGTACCGATAATCACCGATTTAAATTTGATATCAAATGTAATAATTTGAGTTTAAATCGTAAATTATTAAACGCACTTATGGTTTATTCTATTCTTTTAATATTTTTTCAATGTTTTTATTTAATCCTAATATCTGTCTATGTACAGCATTTTTCGCGCTATGGGAAAATATCGGGTTTTATTATGTAAGACCTAATTTAATGGAGAGTAAGTATTAAATTGTTCCCTTGAAACAAGTTGTCAATTACGCTACAATATCGCATAGAATCTTATCAACGTAGTTATTTACAAGAAGGAGAAAATGTATAAGTGACTATGATAAATAACATTACTTATGTTAGGAGAATGGAAAAGGATATTATAATATTATTAATGGGCAAACCTAGTCTATTTTTTTTTCGTTTTTTTTTCTTTTATACGCAAATTTTCCTTATGTATATCTTATGTAGGTAAGTACTTGTCTTGACTACCAACCGAATTATCATATTTTACATGTTAATGATTATAGAAATAGAGTTTATTGCTCTGACAGAATGCTCGTATATTACTTAGTTATACTATGAAAAATATTTTTAACTACGTTTAATATATTAATTAAAATATGTATGCATGTAGCTATGATGTGGTTGTATTTACAGATTAAGACTTGACTTATTAAACTTACATATTTTTAATGCATATTTATGGAACACCTGTACCTCCCCTTGATGTTACTACTAATTTACGGTGAACCTCCAAAACTATTGTAGATGTTAAAACACGAATTTTCGAGTTTAACCATAAACTCTAGTAACGTGTGCCCTATATATGAAAACGGGAAGATTCCCAACTGTACATGTGAGCTTAAATACAAATCTGCTGGAACTGCAACACCTTTTCATATATATACATTGTCTTATCGATTAAATATTTTGTAAATGTACGGGTACTATATTTCAAATATATACAGAACGGGGGCCTAGAGTTGGCAAAAATATTATTTATATTAACTATTTTAAAATTCTGTAACGCTTTCTGTCAGTAAACATTGGCGGTGCTAGAAGTCGACTGGCGTATCGCTATTGGTGTTTTCCTAACGTTGCATCACAAGTGTAAGCGCCCCAGACACGTGCTGCGTAGAACTGAAGCAGCGTACGCCGCCAATGTAAACCGACTTTCAAACTTCAACAAGATGAAACTTAACGCGCAACACTTATAAGTATTAATTTCTAACATTTGACTTGTTTTATAGGGAGTAAAGTTTGAATTCGTACCGGTATTTCCGTGTTTTTGTTTAAAAGCGGTCTCAAATAGGAGTTTCTGTTATCGATTGCTACAAACCAGGTGTACCAAATCTCCCTGATCGATAGGTATCACTAACACTTAAAGTTTGAAATCGCTTTTATATTATTCGATGTTAACGATATCCTCGGCTATTGTTCTACCTATATCTGCAACCTCTTCAAGTATACTGCAGGACGATATCCAGAAATTCTTGATCGTAAACGCCACTATCACAGTAAAGTCGAAATCAAGCGCACTTGGGAATGGTCGCATGCATATATTTACCAGTAATGTGAATGCCGAGCTCAGAGCTGCATGTACTCGAGAGAGCTGCGGCATGGCCGAAGATCAGTTGGAGTGATTACGAGCTGGGTGCGGAGGGTGCGGTGCGGCTTGAAGCGCGGGGTTGGCAACTGCGATGATATTGTCGCCGCGAGCAGCCACGACTTGAGGCCGGGATTCCTCTGCGTCCTGAAATATGGTTTTATTTTTCTCATTCCAAAGCGTCTAACAATGTTTTTTTAAATTACTGTGAGAAATATTTGTGATGGATTGTTTTATGATACCCAGTGACGGGGCGAACTGGTGGAAAGCGACACACCTGTCCATAAAAGTTGTAGTGCCATTCAGAGTTTTAAATTTCAAAGTTGACAAGTCTACATGGGACTGTAATTTTACAAGCACGCTTACCTTTCAAAACCGGAATGCTGTATTGCTCGGATGAAATAGGAATTTGAAATGTTTTTTATATGCTACTACAATGAAAACACGGTCTGTTTAAGCTTTTTTCACGAATTCTAGATAGAATCAATCACAACATGAATAAATTCCAGTTATTATAACACAGCAATACAGTTAAAATAGTTGAACGATTGTTTTCATATTTACTAGTTGATTTTAACAAGGTAGCATTGTAAAGGCAAACAAAATTAAAAATGGCTAATTACACCGAGGTAGATATTGGTTTCCATCACACTACGTAATTCTTTCAACTCAACTTAATTGACAAATTGAAATTGAAATAATCAACTTTAAACTTAATAGCTTGACACTTGATGCTGAAATCTGTAAATGTCCTACACACTATGACTTAGTGCCGAGACGTGGATGCTGGTATAGAAGCAGAATGAGAGTTGTACAAAGGGCCACGGAGTGAAGCATGCTGGGCATCCAACTTATAGATGGAGTTCCGAATTCCGAAATCCGAAGTCGAACTAAGGTCCAGGATATGGGGGATCTGATAACGAACTTAAAATGGAGCTGGGCAGGACAGATGGAGTAAAGCGATAACCGAATGGTGGCCAAGAAACAGTTGTAGAAACGTGAGACGTCCTGTAGCGAGATGGGTGGACGACGTCTGAATGGCCGAAACTACGGGAGGCCATACCCTGTGGGTGAAGTCGGAGTGTCGATGATAATGATGAAACGTGATAGCAACACATAACTTTTGTGATAAATTTGATACGATACAGTAATCAAATTAAAATTGCTGTCGCAATCATTATCCATTCAGTATTTGAAGTAATATGATGAATAAATAAAATTAATAACAATATAATAGTAGCCTACCAAAGGTGGAGTACTGGTGCTGGAAAAGGAACACCTGGAAGCGTCATCGGCGTCGTCGCTCTCGGTCTTTACGCCCCACCAGCTGCTGGAGTTGTTGATACGACCTTCAGGACTGGTATGGACTCCATTGCCTGTGTCGTCTTCCTGAATGACATAAAAGTTTCCGTTATTTTTGGACCTGGAAAACTGTAGACTGATGAGCTTATTATCTATCTATCAACTTTTTCGTTCAAACTACCTGACTGAACCGAACGAAGGTTTTTACCTCTATTAAGAATACAGTTTCCGAACGTGTTACAATGAGTGACCGTCCTAGAAGTATGTACTTATTATTCTTTATAACATTAATGTAATGTTTAGTCGACATTCAGGTTCATTCCTTTGGAGAGTCTCATGAATACGGTTGCATAGCCACGTGTTATAATAAATGACGTTCTTGGAAGTATTTTTACGGTTTATGTAAATTCAAATAGGATCCATAAAAATGTCTACAGATTTTAGTCTTGAACAGTTTTGACACTTGTTCATAACATGTTACTAATTGATCACTTGTTTGCATTTCTTAATTAACATTAACGAGTTAGCATTGCAAAAACAAACATAAAAATGTCTACTTCAACCAAAGCAGATATTGGTTTCTATCACATTTCTTAATTCGTAATAATTTGACTGCAGCAAGCAAAGGCCTCATCTAAAATAACGAACTTTAAACTTGATAGCTTTAAGCTCGATACTGTATCCTGAAATCGGTAGATGTCCTACGGTGCCAAGACGACGCACAGAAGGCTGTGTGCAGACTGAGAGATGCACAAAGAACCATGAAGCGAGTCATATTGGACATGAAACTTATAGATCAAGGTCCAGAACGTAGAAAATCGGATGACCAACTTAAAATGAAGCTGCGCAGAACATATTGCGAGAGGTGGTGAAGAAATGGTACTAGAAACGTGGAAGGTTCAGCTACGAGATAGGTAGACAATATTGTCACAGTGGCAGGCCTTGGGTGGATGTGACTAGCGTAAGATTTTAATGGTTAGCATAAACTGTAAATCATGAATTTCGAAAACATTGCGAAAATATGAACTCGCTCCAAAAGCGATTTTATTTACAAGTGTTTTAAGTCTATTTTGCATTCAGTAGCAACATCTTTCAATTTGGTGTAAGAGCGAGTAATAAAAACAAAATTGTTGAACTACATGTTTGTGAAATTGGCGCTAAAACGTAAGAGGCTTATTGCAGACATCACGACACTTTTGCAATACGACTTTCCTTAATTCCTTACAACAAGCTCCCATAGAGCTTTGATAGCCTAGTGACATGACTAAGTAGTCATGTGCAAACAATTTTTTTGTTTCAATGTGTACAAATAGCCTCGTGGTTTGTAGCGTCATAACTTTGTAGTAATAGGTCTAAATATACATATAATACAAAGTCATGTATACAAAATGCATGCATAGTATCTTATAAGATCTACTTACCGTCATTCTCAGGCCATACCTCTCAGCGTAAAGCATACAATTTCTACGGTGCATATGAAAGTGTTCCGTTCAGGCGTACGACAGAATGCATCAAGCTTACCTTGGCTAATAATGAAGTAGAAATATTATAAAGTGAGGATCGTGGACTGCCTTCGGGAAATAAAATAAAAAAAACATAATACATAATTAATGAAATAAAAAATTAGACTCATGCGCAGCGCAGGGTTTAAAAGGACCAATAGAAAGAACTTTTCCAACAAGACTTTGAAAATGAATACTAATTAGAGTAGTATCTTTGTTTTTTTTTCTGATATGTATTTTGATTTTAATGAAGTTATATATTTCAAAATATTCCCTCACTTCTCAAGATGTATCCTTCGACGTGAGGTTGTTATTATATATAATTGTTAATTTAAGATTCCAGGCCGTGTTAGGTTAGTTATATAAAAAGTATGTTCCTATGTTAGAAAATGTTAGTATTTCCCATCCAATGCCCTAGATTTTTCAATAATAGTTTCATTAGATTCAAAGTTTAGTACAATTTTGCCCTTCCCAATCAAATATGTTCTTTCTTCGAAAGAGGCAGGCAAATGGCAAATGAAATTGTATTTGAGCGCTTTCTACCGAACAAAAAAGCGACTGTACTGGGTTGCTCTAAAAGGTGCTCATGATTTATCTATTATGTGAGATCTACATGAACGGGAGCAACCTGGCGTCGTCTCTTGCTTGGTGTAATGTCGTCCTCCTGCTCTTCACCGAGCGCTGCCGTTGGAGGTAATCTGGAAACGAATGAAATGCGATTTTAAAAATTGTGGTCGCGAATCGGGCACCCTTAGTGTAATTGTTAGCAAAGTATTTTGAACTTACCCATGTTTTGAATAGTGCAGCCCAGCCCGACGCACGAGTTGTCTGGCGAGAGGGAACAGCTCGTCCCGCCGCGCTAGAAGTGCTGGTACACAGCGGCATATCTGGGCAGCCGCCTCGTTCACCATCACCTGGGACACCCCAAAATTATCCACCAGAGTTCAAGGCTATAACCTATGATTGTTAAATCTTTAGTGGTACATGTACTCACCTCGTGCAACGTTAAGGGCTTTTCCGGTTTTCGTTTGCAATCAAAACGCCCGTAAATCGCTGCGTATTTTCTGATCTCTTCCATCCTTCGAGGATCGGTTTCTGGCATCATCATCACGTGTTCCAGTTCTTTTGATGTTTTTCTCTTGGTGTTCTGTGGCTTGGGCTCTAGTTGCGGCATGTGTTTGACGAGCTTTTCTGCCGCTACTGTTAGTTTTTGAACGTGGACGTCCAAAAGTACAGGAGTCAAGACGGGGGAGGTCACAGACCCTGGACTAGAGCCAGCAGATGGCGGAAGTGCGCTTTGTGGGGAGAAAGGCCTGGATGCAGTGGAAGTCACTGGTGCGTTAGATGCTGGAGAAGTTGGCAGTACAATTTTGTTGAAATTTGAATGGCTATGAATAGGACTAGCGTTAGGAGCTGAGGTGTTAGAACAGCAGCTGTTGTTGTCTCCAGCTGGGGCCCCAGGAGACGGGCTGAACATTGATCTATTCTCCGGGGACGATATAGGTCTTGGTAGCACCGGTTGATTGACTGGCACGTTTACCAGTCTTTGGTTACACTGCATCCAGGGATGATCAGTAGGGCACAGGTTCGGTACGATGGGTACCTGGAAGAGGGCGGGATTGTTCAGCCATTCTTGCAGTGCTTTTTGAAGCCGTCTAACGTGAAGGGGTTTTGACGCCATTCCGACGAGGGACATAATCTCTAAAAACTCCTCTTCGCCGGCGTCACATAGCTGCTGAACGTCGTCGCCGCCTATAACAAAGCATTAATTCGATTTTACAATCTCATTTTACTTAATTTGGTTATTATATGATTCTCTGGTGAAATCACACCTTGACTATCGAAGTATGGAGTTTTGCTTCCAAAAGCATTTAAAAACATTACAAATAGAACGAAACAATATTACCATTAGTTTCCCATTGCCATTATATGATCCAACCATAACCTTATATCAGAACCATATCAGAACACAATATTAATGACATTTGTGATGTGTAAATAATTGATAAAAAAAAAATGTTCACAGATAAATCGACTCATCCGTAGAAGAAAGATATATGTGCAAGACTGCTTATTCTCAGAACACTGTCGTTTCGTTAGTTGTTCTTCGCTATGGATATCAGATCGACCTGTGTTCGATTTTATTTGTCAGAAACTAAATAAGCGATAAAAGTTCTTAAAACACCTATAAATAGGTCTTAGTTTGATTAACGAAGTTATGTATTTATCATATTTTCTCTGTATAATCACATCTGACTCTCTGTTCTTTGGATGAGTCGAAATTTTATTAAAAAAACTACATAAACTGCGGGCGAATTGTGGAAATAAAAAACTAATATTCGAAGGGGCTCAATGAAAAATTACCATTGACTTACAAATAAATGGACGACGGGTCTAATACAAAAAGTACGAAAAAAATGTCCCAAGTCAATCTATTTAAACGTAGTGACATTTCAAGGAATATGAAAAGCTAAAACGTTGAATTTAAATTGTAATGTCATCGCAGCACTGTCTAATTTTGCTTGCTTCGCTGTCAGTCGAACAAACGAAGACAAGAGCGTGAATGACGCTCTGTATACGATTTTAACGCCCTGTAAGTTCGGATACTTTTTAGCGTGGGCCCGACGTCCATATAATTGTAAGTCAATGAAAATTACCGAAAGTTATATGGAAATACAGTCATTCCAGTTAGGAACAAGGAACTGAAAATTCCACATTACGAGGAATTTCTCACAATTTTGGTGTTTTTAGTTTGATTGTTTTTTTTTTATAATATCAAATGACGGAACAAACGAGACGTGCGCGTGATGGTAAGCTCCACGCCAGTCTATATGTAATATACAATACTTAGTTAGGCACTTGTTTTTTTTTTCTTATTATACTAGAACACCAAATGTTATTTGTATACCTTCATTTGGATATTTTGTCAACACGTGCTCTCTGTAAAAATTTATGATGCCTTGTATTTCTCGCTAAGTGATTTATATTATTTTGAGAAATATAGTTATTTTTGATATAAGTGCGGAAAGTTAGTCATTATTCACGAGTCTCGAGGCTTCTTGGCCCGAGCCAGAGGCGAGGGTCAAGACGCGAGACAAGTGAAAATGACAAATCCGCACGTGTATCAAACGACGTTTTTTAATACATTTGCGAAAAAACTACATTGAAAGTAAAATAAAACAGTATTTAAACAAAACTCATTTTCTGCTAGTAAATTAAAATAATGAAATACAACCACTGCAACCATTAGTTAAAAGTCTATGGAAATCTAGTTCTAACGTGCTGTTTTTGTTTATTTTCTGTAATATCGGTCTGTAACCACTTTTCTTATTATGAAGTCCTGCTACTTTTGCTTAAACTTCTTTAGGAACCCGTGCACGGTAGTGAGATACAATTTATCTGTAATACATAAAACAAATATATACATGGAAATCTCGCCTATCACCCATTCAGGGGTAGGCAGAGACTTCCACTCGATACGTTCATTATATAGTATTTGTAAATAAATATAAGTTTTAATGACGAATGACTTATGTACGTCACAAAGCACATAAATATTAAATAAATATACAACTTCTTTAGTTCTATGTTTAAGACTTAAAATAACAGTAAATTTAAAAAAAAACTGGAAAAGTAAAAAGCACTAGTGCGAGAAATCCAACTTTCCGCACGATTTGTAGTGCGAAAAATACCACGTTTTGAGCAACTGTATTATAAAATATCTTAAACTACAATTTTATTTGTAGTGATGATAATGGGGAAGAACTTATACTTAATATAAGTACTTTTATATTCATCTATTCTCATGTCCGAAAAAAAATTATTGAATTCAACTAATGCTATTTCTCGACATTAATATGCAAAACTTTCTTGAATGGCGAGTTCATTTCGTTACCATTGTGTGCGGCAAAAACGTGTGATTCGATGAAAAAACAACGACTCACACTTACTTAATTTAAGCAGATATGCTAATATCTTACGTGACCATTTTGCGAAGGGGCGCCGAAAAAAGACAAAAGGATTTTTAAGACGGCCGGCCAAACCCTTCTCCGGAGTGGGCAATTGCCGAACTAAAATCCATAACAAAAATTAAAAAAAATAATTTGCATAAGACGCCGTCTGCGATCGTTTTTTCGCCGTATGGAAATCTATTTTTTAACAGCGCTCGAACGATGAGAAAGAATTTTTTCTTGTGTTCCTATGAAAGTGGTTAGAGTATGGGCATCAAAGAGATCATTCGGTTAGGTTAGTATGCGCAGTTAGTCGGTTTTTTATTGATACATCTGGTAAGGGACAGGATTTTCTTTTGTCCTTACTTTGAAACTTATTTTTTTGTTTCACTGTATTACCGTAAAGAAATACGGGTCTATAAAACTGAATTCTTATTTACTTGCAGGATAGGAAAGCGTCTAATTTAGTCTTTACTTAACATTCTTTTACTTTATTAAAATATTAATAGAATTATATTTTAAAAGTGCAAAAAGCAAGACTGTGTCTCTTGCGGCAATTATCTCGCATTTATGTTGACATTTATCATCCTTGGCTCTCTTTTGTGTTACCCTATAATACTTGCGAATTTTTCTAGATTACTATGTTGTCCTAGACTAAGGTTTAGAATTAAACTTTAGGTACTAAGGCAAAAGAAAATTAGTAATGCTGAGTCTTTAATCTTTTCGTCCACGTCACTCAATTGTATTTTCTATTAGTTTTCATTTTATTATATTTCCTATGTTTTGCAGAGAAATAAATGTAAATGTCTTTAAATATTTTATTGAATAATTATTAATACAAAGATCGAACATTTAGAAAAAATTCCTTCGATCCGGCCGGATTCGAACTGACGTCTTCTAGCATACCGCGCTAGACGCTATACCGACTAAGCCGCGGAACGAACCAGCGGACCTCACGAATTGTTCTATGAGTCCATGGCACCCGCGATACAGGCTTTCCGTAGTGCGGGGCTATGAGTGTGTGCTTTATTGTTATTATTATGAATTACGTACCCATTTCAAGCAGGGTGTCGTAGTAAGCAAGCAGGCTGGCGCGCTGCATCACCCTGTACAGCTGGAGTTCTGCCTCGTTGGACGGCGCTGAGGTTACCATCACTACAACAAAACAAAAGAAAACTTTGGCATTTTGTGATATTCTTGGGACTTGTTTGTCTCATCAATTAGTATATATACATTGTAGATAAGATATACTTTGTATGTTCCTAACCACAGAACAATAAATACAGTGGTTAGTTAGCTACGGATATAGGTCTCGAAAGATCTACTTGAGCTCGACTGAGCCACCATTTACGCTTTATATGTTATGGTTGTGTTATTCTTTCGTGCAAATTCTCTGAAATTCTAAAAAAATGTTACCAGTATGAGGAGGGGATATTTAAAATAACTAAATACTGGATATAACTTCTTCACTTTAATTGTCACGAACGTACATTGATTACAATCTTCACCTGAGAATTTTTAGTAACAATCTGTGTCGAGCACGTACTGTTTCCCGCTTTTAAACCCTCTTGATATCAATCAGGTTACCCCACCAAGCGAGAAACAGCCCGCGTATAATAATCACAACTTCCGTTTCCTAATCTTATTTAATCATGTATTTTGCTAAACCGTACAATTACTGTAAAGCAAAATACACAAATTTATACAAACGAGTTACTACTACTAAGTACAATTTTTAGAGATATCTTGTAAATGCTAATACAATTAAGAAACGGCACGCGGTACAGTGGTCACAACTTCCGTTTCCGAATCTCATAATTATGTATTTTGCTAAATAGTACAATTACTGTATAGCAAAGTACTCACATCTATGCCAATGAATTACTACTATTTATATTACAAAGATATTTTATAAATACTAGTATAATCGCGAAATATCACACAGTATAATAATCACAACTTGTGCCGAATCTAATTTAATTATGTATTTTGCTATAGAGTACAATATTACTGTATAGCAAAATACTCAAATTTACCCAAACAAATTACTAATAATAGGGGTTAAAGTATGAAATTGCCGATTTGTACTGAAAATC